TATCCAGTGAGGTCTCTCTGATGCTGATGGCTTTGATATCTGCAGACCGACTCAAGAACATTGTGTTCCCATTCAGAGGTGGAGCACTTTCTCGTAACATGACACACATCCTTTGTGCCATCATATGGCTCCTCGGCTTCCTCCTGGCATTCTTTCCAATGTTTGGCCTGAGATACTTCGAAAATTCAGAAACATATCACAACTACTACGGAAAAAGCGTCGTCTGCCTTCCCTTGCAGCTCTCTCCTGACAAAACGGAAGGCTGGGAGTACTCTGTTACTGTGTTTGTTGGCCTCAATTTCTTCCTCTTCTTATTCATTACAGCTGCATACCTCGCCATATTCATAAGCAGAGTGCGGGTCAAAAACCAATCAGCCAACACAAGGAGAGAGACAGGTCTTGCTAGAAGAGTGTTCTTCATCATCTTCACTGATTGTTTCTGCTGGATGCCAATCATCGTGTTTGGTCTGAGGTCGGTTTTGGAAAAGATGTACAAAACCCCAGGAGATCTGGCTGTGTGGATTGCCGTGTTTGCCCTGCCCATCAATTCAGCGATAAACCCGATTCTATACACGTTAGCAACACCAAAGGTATAGAGTAACTTTTCTTTATCATGTTTGAATTCTAAAACAGGGAAGACCCGGTGGTTTAGAGGCTAACAGGCTGCATGGGGCTCATGGGTTAAACACTCGTACAGCTCCTTTTTGCACTCAGCCGTTTAAACGAATATTTTAAAATTGCCCGGGAAAGTTAGCTAGTACTTCATGCAAAGATCGTAGCCTGAATAATTCTGACTGCTTTAAACTACTATGAGTGAAATAAATAAAGAGACGGCAAGCAAGTAGTCGATCGAGATCGATGCATGTTTTGGCACTTTTCACAATTTAATAATTGATAGGGGAAAATGGTCAGTCGATGAATGTCGTTTTTGGCTAATTTGCTCTTCTCTCAAGGCGCAAGAGTATCTGGGAGGCAAAATAGCAAAGTTGAGAAAATTCTTACGCAGCATTTTTCACTGCAGTGAAGACCAAGGGGGTAACTATGCCCATTTTTTCATTCTTTCTATTTCATAAGTTTATAGAATGGAATCAGAAACATTATTCTTATTAGCGAAACTTTCTTTCTGTAACTAAAGCCACTTTTGATATGGATATCATATTGCAATAGTACCAATCCAGTAATTTACTACTGCTTGTTTCATAAGAGCAACAAGCAGGATAATAATTCTAGCTTATAGAACTGTTAATTCTAATAACCTGTTCGCAATATGACACATTGAAATATCAAGGTAAGGTTATCTGATAATCAGGACTAAAAGTTTAGGAATATATTTTTCCTTGACATCTACCAAGATTTTTCCTGTTGTAGTACACCATTAAACATTCAAAAAAGAGCAGTATGTTGGATCATCAATGAATGGTTAAATGCAGAAAGAAAAATTCTACTAATAATATTTTGGCCGAACACAGTAAGTTTACCTAGAGCAAGGATAGTTTCTAACTTTTCCTGATCAGATCACGGGAAACTTTTTTTCAAGGCTTATCGTTTCATAAAAATGGGAGTTTGTTTGATATCACTGCGCTACTGATTCAATCGGTTGTTCTCCATATTTAAAACCGAGAGACATATCCTTTCTTGCCAGAAATGATGATAGAGGATAGAAATATTACGTAGAAAGAACAGTCTAAAGTGTATTTACATTTTCTTATAATACTTAGCAAACCTATCAATACTTTATGACCCTGTCGGGTAATTATGATGATCTTGATTAGACTAAGGCTACCCTGGAGAATCCTCATTCAAGCTGTGTATATGGGGGGGCAGACCGCAGTATTGCTGGAAAGAATATACACCATCCACCTAGGGTATCTTCTACATGGTTAAAACTGCCGAGAACTGCCTATAAATAAAATGTATAAGCTCCATTTACTTGTTACAAATATTATTATTGATCTTGTGACTTACTTATTCAGTTACTGATAATAATGCAGCCAATAGTTTCCAATAGAATATTTCAGTCTGCAAGGATGAAAAAGTAGAAAGAAAGTAGCAGTGCAGCTGATACAGCGAAGTGACCTAACTGCTTTGCATATCNACAACATGAACAGATTATCCTTCTTTGACTTTAAAACTACAGACTTTTGTTGGCTGTCCTTCACTACAATGAAAACAGTGATCGTTTACAGGCAGTCACAAAAGATGGAAGACCCTGCGACACAATTAGGTTCCCAAAGTCAAAAAAGAAGAGTACTCAGTGCCTAAGGAATAGACATCTGCTACTTATGGTATATTTAGCAGAACTAATAGTAAAATTTTTTGCTGTTTGTTTCCTTGTTTTAACTTCCCTTTTAGCTCATTCCTCGTTAGTTCTAGTTCTAGATATTCTTTACAATTCTCCGGAACTAGTAAGTAATTTAGCAGTAAATTGTGTTTGTACAATTTAATTTTACAACCAAGCAACACAAAAGATTATCACAACTCATGAATAATTGTTATTTCCAGGTTATAGTGAGACTCTAATTGAAATGTTGTTAGGCGACTATTAAGAGGGCCTGTGGTCATTAAAAAAATCTATACAGGATGTGAGAGAATCTATGCCTGCCCCCCTTGCTGCTTCCTCTGAGAAACCCTTCAATGAAACAGCAGTTGGACAGTTTGTGTCACGGTTTACACAACGGTGAAGTTGTAATTAAATGTCATTAGGAAATCATTTTTGACTTTGAATAGAATTCAAACGATCCAGAGTTCAGCTTGCGAAACTATCTTTCTGTATTTCCAAATCGAAGCAAACAAAAACAGGTTCAATAATTATACAGGCCACACTTGCAAATCTCCACGTTACAACTTACTTAACAATAATAATACTTAGAAGATGAATGAAAGCAATATATAAATATTTCCTATCGAACAGGCGCAACCGCTAGCGCTGTAAGACATGTAGAATTCTGATCTGCATTTACATGCACCTTTGTTTCCGTCAAAGGTTTGGCGGTTTTAATCCAGTGTAAGAAGTTCCACAATTAGCTGGAAAAGTGCTTCGGATTTTATTTACCGCACAAGATGGCAGAGCCACCCTGACATTTTTGCCGAGATAACCCCAGCACCAGCGAACAAGCTGTTTGTAGGCAATATAGCGAAATTTCCAACCAGGAGAGAGAAAAATAACTAGCTCTAGCACTGTGTTACATAATCAATAGCACAAAAAACTCCAGCAAATCGATCTCATAAACAGATAAAAATAAAAAA